GTGCCTTGACCATTGCTGAGGCTGGCTTTGAACTCACGATTCTCCTGTCTTAGCCTCCTGAGCCACTGGGATTACAGGCGTGCGCCACCTTGCCTGGCCTGTTCAATTTCTTTCTTCAGTATTCTATAGTTTTCATTGTAGAGGTCTTTTACCTCCTTGGTTAGATTTATTCCTAGGTATTATATTTAATTAATTTATTCTTTAATTTCTTTCTCAGCAGATTCATTGCTGATATGTAGGAAAGCTCTTGACTTTTGTATGCTGATTTTTGTAATCTGCTACTTTGCTAAACTTGTTTATTAGCTCTAGCATTCTTTTGGTGGAGCTTTTTGGATCTTCTAAGTATAGGATTATATCACCTGCAAACAGTTTTGTAGTTTGATTTTTCCCTTTCCTATTTTTATTGCTTTTATTTCCTTCCCTCGCCTAATTGCTCTGGATAGAATTTCTAGTGCTATATTAGATATGAGTGGTGAGGATGGACATCCTTGTCTTGTTCCAAATTTTAAAAGAAATGCTTTCATTTTGTTTCCCATTGACTATGATGTTACTTTTGGTTTTTGTAAATAGCCTTTATATCGAGGTCAGTTTCTTCAATCCTACTTTCTTCAGTGTTTTTATCAGGAATCGGTGCCAAATTTAATTAAAGTCTTCTTTGTATCTACTGAGATGCCTAAGAGATTTTTGTCCTTAATTCTATTTTTGTGATAAATCAAACTTATTGATTTCCATATGTTAAATTATCCTTGCGTCTCTGGGATAAAACCAGCTTTGTCATAATATAAAATATTCTTAATATGTTATTGAATAATATTTGAAATTTTTTTATTATGAATTTTTGAATTGAAGTTTATCAGGGGTATTGGTCTATGGTTTTCTTTCCTTGATGTGTCCTTAGGTGATTTTGGTATAAGTGTGATTCTGGTTTCATAGAATGAATCTGGAAGTGTTCCATTCCTTTCAATTACATGGAATAACCCGAGGAGCACTGGCACTAAAGGTCTGATAGAATTCAGCTGAGAATTAATCTGGTCCACGGATTTTTGGGATTGGCTTATTTCACTGAGCAAGATGTATTTCAACATTATCAAGATCCAGGAAAATAATCTATTATTTCAGTCTTTTGAAATTTGCTGAAATGTGCATTATGTCACAACATATAATCAATTTTTAATGTTCTATATGCTTAAATAGAATGTGTTCTGCTGTCTGTAATGTTCCATTGCTGTAACTTGGATTAGGATTCTTAATCATGCTATTCAGTTCTTTATCTTTACTAGTTTTTTGGTATGCTGCTTTTTTTTCTGTTACTCAGGGGGGTATTAAAGTATCTCCCATGAGTATGGAGTTGTTTGTTTCTATCAGTTTTAGTTTAGGTTTTTTTTTTTTTTTTTGAGGTGAGACTATTAGGTGTGTCACCTAGTAATATAGTAATGTAGGTTTTATATCTTCCAGGTAGGATAATCCTTTTTTCATTATAAAAATGTCCCTTTTCTTTTGTGACTAATGGTGCTTCTTGACTTAAAGTCAGCATTACCCATTATTAGTATACCTTTGCTTTAATTGGTGTTTGAATAGTTTAGCTTTTTCTATTCCTTGAATCTCAGCTTGAATGTCTATATTTCATGCATATCTTTATGATATTTATATTTAATGCATATCTCTTGTAAGCACCATATAGTAGAGTTTTGATTTCTTTTTTAGGTATCATAGTTTTTGTCTATTAATTATAGTATTTAGTATATTTACATACAATAAACAAGCCAAAAACCTTAACCCTCAAAAGACAAAGCATAGAAAAATAACTACATTTAAAAAATGCTAAAAATGAGGGGGGTGGGAAATGAATAAATATGTATATATGTCCCCAAACCAATCAGCACAGCAAGAAACACACAAATACACATGCACACTTAAACACTACCCAATCCAAACAAAACAAAACCAAAACAAAAAGATTCTTGGGCTATGGGGGGGGGGGGGG